ATTGGCTTCGGTTCAATGCAAAAAAGAATTATTGATGTCTAAAGCCACCTTTAAATATTTCTATTGAATGCTTAACTATGTGCCACAATTATGTAATGTTTTTGAGTTTCAAGTATATATTTATATATGTGATTGTTTGCCATTATATGAACATATTTTTCTGCTACTCCATGAATATTTCTCTAGATCTGCCCCTGCAGAGACATCTTCAAATTGCTTGTTCTGTCTGATGGTCCAAAACCAAAGATATTCCATTTACAATTATATTCTGTAACACAGAGAAAAGCAGCAAATCCTCACATGTAAGAAGCCGGAAACAACAAAGGTTTGACATTGTTGCATGACAAATGCCCTAAGTGATGTACTGATCTATCAAATAATCATTTTAGAACCACATTAAACACACACAAACAATACCAGGTGGAACATGCTGCTTATTTTTCTGCTTGACAGACTGCTTGCCCTTTTCATCTCTATTCCCTTTTTTTTGTAAAGGTACGGTAATAACAACACAGGCAAAGGGGAGGGCAAACAATGATGATAACGTTCCAGAGACAAATTGAGACTGTTGAGTCGCATCAAGCATTAATTAGCAGGGTTGCAGACAGAGTGCAGAGAGCTGCAGCTGTATCAGATTTCACAGACGGTGAGGTTGTGTGTTGAGGCACACAGAGAGAGAGAGAGAGAGAGAGAGAGAGAGAGAGAGAGAGTGAAAGAGAGAGAGAGAGAAAGGCCAGGTTACAAACAGACAGACACTGCAAGTGAAGGCCACGCCAAGTGCACTCTGCATTCAGAAACAATGAGATCCTGGGAGGCTGAGGGGACCCAGACAGACATGGTGGAATTATTCATTTCCACCCACTGGCTCAGACTGCACCACGCAGACCACTCGCCTCCCTCTGCTGATAGCTCAAACTGTCTGGTTATCACAACTGCACATTCCCATCAACTACGAACAAAAGACTGAACTAAAGTAGAAGGCAGATTCTTATCAGGGTGCTGTTGGAGTGAAGCAAAGTGTGTCTGTCTAGCTACAGTGAAAGTGACCACAGAACACTGACGTCAAGCTACAAAAAGAGAAATTCAGCCACAATTTGCATGTTTCTGCACAAGTCGACTGAGGAGCGGAGGAGTGATTGCATTTGAAATGAGGAGTGCTTTGGTGCAGGACCTCAATCACCTCAATCGGGCTTGGAGAGAGCGTGTGAATGGAAAATGGCAACATTTATGTCAGCACTGTGGGACAGCATAATCACATTCAGGTGACAAGGCAGCAGAGCTTGGTATTCTGGGTATAAAGACCACAGTGAATATTGCAGCCAGGCCTGCCACCGCAAGTCACGTCGCCTGAAACTGTGATTTCAAATATGGCATTATATTTACATAACAGAGAGCAACAGACACTCCAATGTGGCTGCAGTGTTCTGAATATATACAGCCACTTTAAGGAAGCATCTCTCTGTGTGTCTCTGCACTCTCCTTGAAACATCTTAACAAAAACGCGCTACTTTTGCTGTGCTCTCTGCATGCGGACAGCTTTGTTTTTCCTCAGCGTGCCCTGACCTAATTACCATGTGAATCCTGCTCAAGAAGGCCACTTTAAAAGTCTACAATCTCTCTTCTTCACTTTCACATACCAGGTTCACGGAGTGTAAAAAAATGGGGGAGCAAAATCAAGATCAACGGCCTGCAGAGCATGTCTCAGCTAGGCACTCGCTGCCTCGTAGCAGTTCACTTCTTAGAGCATCCTTCCTGGGTTTTAAAGCGTGCAAATGCATCTTTGTCATGGCCGCTCTCAAGTCAGGATTCACAAAAAGAGTGTGAAGTGTTACAGCGCATACATAAACTGAGGTCTGGTTCATGAGCAGTGACAGATGTCCCAGAGTGCTTGTTTGACGTGCATGAGAAGCCAAACAGTTGAATGACAGACTAACAGCAGAAATATCATGCTGTAGAAGTTGTCACTTTCCGCCTTGGTTTTGGTCTGTGAAACGCTGCACTTTGAAATGACAAAACAGTCTGTCAACTCTGGGAAGACAGATTATTTTTTCCTTAAAATGTATTTTCTAGTTTGAAGATATGGGAAGGGTAGCTGTATGGAGAGAGTTACCTCAGACCAGACCGAATCATATTTGTTATCTGTGTTAGTCTGTTATCTCTTTAGACAGACACACACATCAACACTGACACACTCATGGAGGTCAGACCGTACTGAACATGGCAGTGTTTTTTTTTTTTCTTAGAGAGGCAATATCGGATGGAGAGGAGAGGATCAAGTTCTCCGGACATTAAACTTTCATATCCGTTTGGCCCCTCTCAAATGATGCCCCACAACAGAAATAAACCACATGGCACAGTTTAAATATGCATCATTAAAAATTTGATGAAGAGGCTGCACGTTCACCTACTCCACACCTACCATATTTGTTAATGAAAATGAATTATTTATGTCGACATCAGATGCCACAAAGATACAGACCTCTTGCATATAATCAAAAACACTTTCACACACTGTAACTACAAGGACATCAAGGAGAGAAAATAGGAAGCAGGGGAAAGTGAACATAGAGGTGGTCTAAGAGGAGTTGGGGGGGGGGTCCATCCAGTTTGTGTATTGTTGCAGATCTCTTTTCTCTCTGCTGGTCTAGTTCCTCCCACTGGGACCTGTCAAGAGCCCTCATAAGTTCATCAAAGATGAAAACCTGTTTTCCATTTGAAAAGGACTGACCCAGGATACTGAAACAGCTCTTCATATAACAAAAGCGTTAATCATCCATAAGACAAGCATGCGGGCCTGACAAAACCTGTAAGAATATATAAATATCAATCAAAAGATGGGGGGATATACGGGACTTTCACACGTGATGATTAATGATCAAAATAAAGGCAAGAGTTGTGCCAACTTTTGAATTCCAGACGGGGAGAATTGGGTTGGTAAGATATGAGACAGGATTCTGTGTCCACGGAGAGGGATAATACTGTAGCAAACTAATATTATGAATATTTGTCTAATTGAATCTACTATATAAATATTCTCTGTCCATGGCAATTTCAAAGAGAAGCTCAGTGCTTTAAAAAAGCTTAACTCCAACACAAATTTAATATGTCATCTGACACATTTCCCAAAACTCAAACCAGCAATGCTTACTGGCATTTGAGAGCCGTTTGAGTTTTAATGAATAATACAGTGTCCTTCATTGACACTGTTGAAGACACTGAACCACTGAACTCAATAAAATTACAGATGAGAAAAGAGTGCAGTTTTAAAAAAGCTTATAAAAGCCCCAGTGGTGGTGGTTACTGGTGGTGGAAAATTGCTTTCAAGTGAATAAGTTGTTTGATTAATTTACTCAAGTGAATATGATATTTTAAGCCTAAAAAATGCCAGCTATGGACTAAATGTCTCTGAAAGCTGTTCCCCCGTTAACCGCCTGCAGATAAAAGCTTGTTCAAAAGTGCTTGACATTTAATCACCTGAAGCAAAAAATAAAAAATAAAATAATAATCACACAGGCAACAATCCATTAAAACAACCAGCCCCTATATGTTTTCATTTGTCCAAGCCTGGATGAGTGCTGCACCTTTGCTCCGGCACACAGACAATCTGCTCTGCAGAACTGTCTCTGTGCTCACTTGTGGAAAGCACAGCAGACAGTCCAGCACATGATGCAGCAAACTTCACCTGGCAAGGTGTTATCACCGCTGTACAGTGCCGCTCAACACTGCCCTCTGTCGCTCTGCAGCCACACAGCCAGCCTCCCGCTCCAACAATGCATTTCAGAACAATCAACTTAAACACATGCAGGAGGGAAATGTCCTATTTTACAGTACTGTATTTCTTTGTTCGACACCCCCACTCTGGGAGGCTTTCTGATGTACACTTATCCCTCTTTAGAATTTAAAATAAAACAGATCTGAAATGTCTGTGCGTGTGTCGGGGGAAGAAATGTAGAGGCAATTCAACCAAGTGACAAGCTCATGAATAATGACTTTCTGAGCAGATTTTCTGTGTTTTCATGCAGAATTAGTCCCACGGACGTTTGCTGGGATTTGGACAGAATAAAAGAACGGATTTAAAAAACCTCGCAATGTGCGCAAAGGCTGCACATTCCGCGCGTAAAAGCTCATTTGTTAATTGGAATTGATAAGCAATGAGGTCACTATAGGCAGTTTGAACTCGGACGACAATATACATTAGTGAAAATGGAAAAAGGACAACAAGATGGTCAATTTTACGCCGCATGTTTGTGGTCCAAATTAGGTCACCACGTTGGATTATTGACAATTTGAGAAAACAATACGATTGAGACGCACACCACTTAGACAATCCATATCCCCGAAAGATCATATCAATGGAGATTCCCCCAGAGGATTATTGTTAAAGTTCACATCTCGTGTGGATCGGGACTGTACAGGGCAGCGTGCAGCACAAAGTAAGTTTGAGACGGCGCTAATGTGGCAGGCACAGGCAGCTCCTGCAGCCCACAAATGCTCCTCTGATCCTGGGATGAAACGTGAGTGGAAAGTAAAACTGGAGCGGCATAAAGGAACTGCTAAACTGCTCTGAATAACACATGCTATGAACGGACAAATCACCTCGCCCGAAACAGTCAAAGTGGGCAAAAGCGCAGGAAAGTGTTGGACATTAGGAATAAGAAAACGCCACATTGCTCAAACCCCGCTCTGATGGAAAACGGTCCAGAGAAAAACGGACCCCACATCGTGGCTGAATAAAGCTTACGAGTAGCCAACGCATTAATGATGGAGGAGGATTTTCTTTTTTTTAATTCTATCTGAGCAGGTTACTCAAGCTAAAGCGGGCTATTGTGTTGATTGTGTCTCCAGTTAAAAAAAATACAGCACCTCAATACATCCATGTCGCCCGTAACGGCAAATCTAAAGCTGGAAACTGGCGCACAACACACCTAAAAAGTGCTTCTGCGTCCGTCATTTCAGGTATTTTGCCAAAGAAAAGAAAGGAAAAGTGATTTTCCTTTTACCTTCGAAGATGTTTGTATTCCCCCAAGTTGGCGACAATGCCAGCAGAGATGAGCAGAGGATCGGACTCGCACTCTGAGCAGTAGAGACAGAATAGAGACGGGTTCTAGTGTTGTGTCCTCAGCCGCCGTGTGCGTCACTCTCCGAGCGACCTGCAGCCAACAACTGCGCTCTCCTTCTCCTTGAGCGTCGGACGATACCACGGGTTGAGGAGGGACCGGGGTGGGTGGGGTGGGATGGGGTGTGGGGGGCGAGTGAGTGGGGGCCGATTTGCAAGCGCAGTAGGCTACGGGGCGGAAGTACGCATGGACACCCCCCGGAGAGCTGGAAGAGTGTCGCAACAGCGCGTCCGTCCACAGCGAAAGCAGCCAGGCAGTGTTTGAGAGTGAATCACAGCGTGGACCTGAGAGAGACAGAGAGGCTTCTGGGACAGGTTTGCCCCGCGTGTTGTTGTCTGGGACTCCGCAGAACCTGCTGTGTGTGGGGGTAACCTGGCAATACAACTCCACTGGGCATCTGTCTATTTGCTGTTTTGTTAGAGAACAGTCCACACATACTGGTGATGGTTATACTGGACCAAAGTCATTCTGCTCTATCAGCCAGGTAGGCTGGGGACAATAGTGAAAGCCAAACTCCATATAGGAAAATAATAACACTTATTGTGCAGTTAAACCTGGTGGGCAAACTGAACTGAAAGAGGTTCATTTAAGTGGATGCTACATGCTTTCTATTCTCTTTGGTGACTACACTGGTGTAAGATTTACATTATGACACCCTGTTCAACATCACAATAAGGAAAAAACTCACAAAAACAAAACTCCATTAAAAGAGAGTGTACAGCTGCATAAATACTATGAAACACCCACATCTATTCCATAATATTCTATTATATTCTATTATATTCAAAGTCAAAGTCAGCTTTAATGTCAATTCTTCACATGCACCAGACATACAAGGAATCGAGAGGACGTTTCTCATTCAGCCGCGGTGAAACAGATAAAGTGCACAGGCACAACATATAAGATCAGACACTTCCTAGTACTAAAATTTAAACATTCAAGTTCACAACAGACAATAAAATATAAAATATACAATAATATAAAATATACAATACTTATGGTAGTGCAAAAAGGCAGACGGTAATGGCAGCAGAAAAATATGTAAAATATATTTGTAACAGTGCAAAAGAACAGTCAGTAAAAAAACAGTAAATAAATAAATAGCAGCCAATTTTAATCTATGTGGAATGTGGTGGTAGTAATGGTAATACTAATAATAATAGTAGTGCAGGAGACAGTTTGTCCAGAGTCCAGAGTGATGGAGGGGGGGGGGGGGGGTCCTGACAGCTTGGTGGATGAAGCTTTTTGTGAGTCTGGTGGAGCGAATATATCCTAATATATATTCTATCCTATTCTGTGCTACCAGTGACTTGCAGGGTATAAACAGGTAGGAGTTTTATCAGGTCCTGATGAGGAAACAATCAGTATGAACCAAAGTCAATTCAGTTCAGCTAAATCTGATGGGCGAACTGGACTGAAAAGTAAGGTTTGTTTGAATGAGTTTTCTATTTTTAAACCACACTCCATTAAAAAAAAAAACCATTAATTTATGCAGCAGTAGGCAACATCATTTTGATACAGCACAAACAAACCCCCACGTCTCTTCTATCCAATTGTAGTGACTGTAGTACCCTGATTTAAACAGGCGTGTAGTCTAAATTGTTACTTCTTGTGCGACATCACGATTAGGAAAGCAATCAGTATGAACCAAACTCTATTCAAAAAAACAATAATTTATGCAGCTGTACATCATTTTCATACGGCACAAACAAACCCCCATCTCTATTCTATTTGGTTCTATTCTATTCTCCCAGTGACCAGCATGGTGTAGGCATTAAACAGATGGATATGACTTACTACATGAGGAGATCGTGATGAGGAAACAATCAGTACAATTTATTTATTTATTTTAATATTATTAAAAAGCTCAATGTTTTCTATTCTATTCTATTTATCCACGCAAATCAAATATGAAGCTTTCAAATGCGAAATGTATTTAGGCTACTTCTGCTAGAATATGCTATAAAACCTTGGTATGAACTGGTTGTCAATTTGCATTTATGTTACATATGGTTACTAACCATATGTAACCTGTGCGGCACATTTCACAGCTAGAATCCAACCACATTTTCTAAAGGAACGGAAGTCGAATTGATTAAGAGTTCATTAAGAGCCATTCAATCACAAGCCAATTTAGTAATTACCCGCTTGTGTAATTAACGGTCTTGCAATATGGCTGCATTATGTTGATAAAAACAAAATGAAGTTGACTAGTACTCACATTCATTGCTATCCAAACAATAACACAGGGGTATCTGACTGGTTGGAGGCGACAGGTGCAACACCTACCCACTGAAAAGTCAGCAGAACTACATATCCCAGGGTACCTTGCGCCGTGCTCAAGAATCCGTGGAAAAGCGATTGCGCCTGCGTATCCAGACGTGGCAACGGCATCATGGCCTCTTGGAACCGCTACGGGAGTCGGATGAGAGAGGCGAAAATGTTCATGTTGGTGTTGCTGGTGAGTCAAACGAACCTCCTTTTGTGTGTCGTGTAAAGGTTTCCTGTGACATTCCCGGAGGGTGTGTGTGTCCGTTTGGGAATTCAGGAGAGAAAAAACAATCCAAATCGCTCTCCGCCGCGTCTCCTAGCCTGTCCGTGCAGGAGGTAAAGTTGACAGCCCTTGACTGAACTTGGAGCTCACATTTAGTTAACTAGCTCGTAATAATGTGGGTGGACTGCGGTTTCTGTGGCGCAGGTTAAACCGCTGTATTTCTTTATGTAACTGCCTACACAGAGCGGTTTTCTGACCAACGGTCGCCTGTGTGTGTGTGTGTGTGTGTGTGTGTGTGTGTGTGTGTGTGTGTGTGTGTGTGTGTGTGTGTGTGTGTTACACGTACACGGGGTCCCCTCCCCTGTGTGTCTGAGCCTTAACTACCGTCCTGTGCAAGCGGTAAACCCGGTAAGCTAGCGTTACCTTTCTCTCTATAGCCTCCATGTTAATGTTTAAAAGGTTGTGCTGTTTTTCTCAAGTGTCGTTCATGCGGTAGGTTAGGTTTATTGTTGTTAACACAGCAGGACAGTCACAGAAAGGCATCTGCTCAGCCATCCGAGTTTGGAAAGGGAATTGAAAGTTCAAAACTTTGTGAGTTAAATAAAAATCGCTGGCCCCTGACAAGTGGGTGTGAGTTAGCTGCTGTGTGTAGCAGAAGTGTCCTTCCATGTCATATGACTGTCACAACTGAACTGGTTAGGCACCAACCAATCTAAGCTGAATGAAAGGTGTTCTCTCTGTGTGTGTGTGTGTGTGTGTGTGTGTGTGTGTGTGTGTGTGTTAGAGCAGTGCTGCAGCCAACAGTTGTTTTTATTGGCTATTAATCTAATATAATGTTTATTCCATCAAATGTCAGAAAAGAGCGAAAATGCCTGTCACAAGTGCAAGACAAAAAGCCCCAAATCTTCAGTTCACACAGGAAATGTTTGTTATTCTTGCTAGTTAAATGTAAATGTTAGTCTATGATGAATATTAAACACAAGGGCCACTTATGAAGCTATTCCTGGAGCTTTCAAATGTACCAGTCAGCCTTCCAAGAAGAATATTTCAAGTTCATGTTCAAGTGTATTTGTAGAGCACAGCTACAACACCATTATATATTGCTTATGAGTTATGACATACATTCAGTTGCCAGTTTATTAGGTAACCTGTGTTGGCTTTCCAGCAGACAGTTTTCACTGTCTCTTACAGATTTTCATACTGTACAAAAATAAGGGAAAGGCAATTGGCTACCTGCAGCTATAGGAAAATGTACCAGTCATTTTCTCATTCAAGTGACTGGGAAAAAACGTTTGACTGGTACTAAGGAAAATCTTAACAGAACATGGTAGCTATATAAAGTAAATATGACTTGCAGTGAGGGAGGTAAAAACACAATGGTATGGTCCTTTAAACAGGTAATCGTCTGTATTATACTGTATCTGTCACATTCATGCCACAGTAGACCACTAGTGCTTAATACTGATACACACCGGTTCCTGTTCTGGTTCCTGTTGAGCAGCAGCCGTGGCAAACAAGGGTGGGGCTTTGGTGTGTACTTACAGTGCATACTGTGTAGGGGTGGGTAAAAATATCGATTCATCAGTGCATTGCAATATATTTTTTCCCAATTCAATATCGATTCATTAAATCTTCTGAATCGATTCAAGCCCCTGGCCAGTGGGGGCGCGGTGAGCACCTTTGTGTGATTTGCGTTGTACGGACGGAGGCCGCACTCGACCACACAACAACAACATGGCAACCGAAGCAGGTAGCAGCAGTGTTAAACCAGCGCCTTCAACTTTAAAAGCAGTGTAAACCCGGAACACAAGAAATAGACCAAAGTAAGGTAGTGTGTAAGCTGTGCCAGGCAGTACTAAAATACTGCAATAACACAACTAATTTGCGCAACCACTTAAGCCGACACCATGCAGATGCTCTGCATTCATTTCGTTATTGATTCATCTGTCAATCATTTTTGTGATTAATTGATTAGCTAATAAAAAAAATTGTGAAAAATGTTGATCGGTGTTTCCGAGAACCCAAGGTGACATTCTTAAATGTCTTTTGTCCACAAACCAAAGAGATTCACACTTAAGAAACCAAAAAATATTCACATTTGAGAAATCAGGGAATTTGGACATTATTTCTTAAAAATGTACCCAAATTGATTACCAAACAGTTCACGATCAATTTAATAGTTTATAGCAACTAAATGATTCAACTAATCATTGCAGCTCTATTAGACTATCGACAAAAACGCACAATTTTTAAAGCAAAAAACTACTAGGTTTTACTCGGATGGCTGTTTTTATTTTATTGTAAAAGTGAACACCCACAACACAAAACAGACAAAGCAAGCTAATTCAAGATGTCACCTTGGATTCTGAGTTTTCAACATTTTGTAGACCAGTTGTTTATAGAAAAATTGAAAAACAACCAACAAATTAATCGATGATGGCAATAATTATTAGCTGCAGCCCTCATCATGACATCTCAACAGTGCTATAATACTGTGACAAATTTTGTCCTTGTCACTCACCACTAGGAACCTATGTTGTCTATGAGCAGGTGCATTTTTGGCGTGTGTGTGTGTACTGGTAGGTAGGGGATTCTGTAAGGGAGGGGATACACCACTGCACCACTTTGTTAGAGGGTAGCTGTCTGGGTGGTAGAGGTCTGCCTGTCAAAACAATTTAATCCAAGCTCCCTTCACACTCACACACACACACACACACACACACACACACACACACACACACACACACACACACACACAC